CATCTCACCAGCCCCATAACTCCTTTTGACTTAAAAGACACATGCACATGGGTACAAACGAATCTGTAGGCTCTGTGGGCTGTTCTTCCTTGGCCAATGTGACTGTGCAGGAGCCTAGAGGAACTTCTTCATCCCTACATTCCAGGATATCAAGGTCTGCATCTTGGGGTATGTGGGCATAAGTTACACACCCACCAGGTATCACAGTCACACTTGCAGGTCCTGAGCCTTGCTTAGGTTGAACTGTGGTGCCTGGAACAGTTAGCACTCAGTAAATATTTGCTGAATGGTACAAGTGGAAGGAAAGACAGAAAACAGAAAAGCTCCTTTGTTTTCACTGACTGCTGGAGATAAGGCAGTGTCTAGCAGACCTGGGTTAATTTTTGTCAGTGCCTGAAAGGAAGCATGGAAAATTCTAGAACAAGTAGCTATAGACTAGCACAACTTTTCTTTGAGGTCATTAATTTTATGGTTGATTCTGGGAAGGCATTCCTGATGGCCTTCTACTTAAAGCATTGGGAGAATTTAGTAGGGGTGGAATGGAGACATGGGCAGGACTGCTGGGTAGAGCAGGTCTCTTAGCCTTCTGGGGTGTGCCCACCACCTGGGAGTGGAGCTGCAGAGGCCCACAGGACACCCAGCCCCGCTTGTCCCCGGACTCATTCCCTGCATGTTGGAGGTAGTGTAGGCCCAGATGATGAGGAGCCCTCTAATGGAGGCTGGCCAAACCTACCACACCTTTTCTGTTCCTCAGGTGGACCGGGTGAGCTACCTACTGCAGGAGATCTATGGCATTGAGAACAAGAACAACCAGGAGACCAAGGTTTGTCCTTGTGGGAGCCTTCTTGTGCTCTAGGCTGACCACTGACCCTATTCCCGTTACCATACAGAAGCCCATTCATGGGGATGACTAGCTCTAGTCTTCCTGAAGGGTGTGGGGAGCCAGTCCCCTTTCTTCCTCTGGAAGCCCCGGGCTCCCAGGTGCCATCACTCTTTCTTAATTCTTTTAAAAAGTTAAAATTTATGAAACATTTTGCCTTTCGGTTTGTTGGTTCATTTTGCACCCTTCATCCATGTCCTGCAGAGTAGTCTGGTACTCAGGAACCACACTCCCTCCACTATTTATTTATTTATTTATTTATGTGTGTGTGTGTGTGTGTGTGTGTGTGTGTGGCCAGCTCAGCCCACCAGGGGGCGGGGCTGACTGGCATGTGGTGCTGGGGGATTGAACCGTAGTCCCTGTGTTTGCTAAGTTTGTTCTAAGTAGGTGCTTTATTTATTTATTTTTTTTTCAATTTGGAAGCAGATACTTTATTAACTGACCAAATTATAAAAACACCATGGTAGATACCTTAGTTCATCCTTCTAATAAGCCTGTTGATCTGGTCTTCCCTATTTCCTGCATCTCCACCTTCTACAAAATGGGTGGTCTTTTTCTTCATTCCACCTCGAGGAGATGATAACTTGAATGGCCACAGGAAATTATTTGCCTCTTTGAAGCGTTTTCCAACAGTATAGATCTCATGAATCAGATCCTCCATGCAGATGATTCCATATTTACCAAGAGATCGAGCAATCAATGAATTATCTGTCAAGGCAATTCGCTTCTTATTGATTTTGCCGTAGCCACGCTTGTATATTAGTTCGTTCACTGACTTCAGGTTTGGGTACCCCCATGCAATGTATGGCTCCACAATTCTCAGCATGTTAATTGAAGCCTTGTTGAGCTTAACGAAGGTACCATTGAAGATTTGGCGAAGGCAAAGAAGCTGCAACACCTTGCGGACCTTTGGGCTCACACCATTGATGCCCCTGATCCAGATGATAAATGCCAGTTTGGGCTCTGCAGGGACATAGAAGTTGCCAGCTTTTCTCGCCATCCTAGCCATCCGGATCTCAGTTCTGTACATCTGTCTGTACTCCTTATGATAGTGCCTGGCTTTTTCATAGATGAGTTTCCTCCTCGCCTTGCGAAGCGTCTTCTGGGCAAACTTCTTTCTCAGGCGCTTTATCTTTAGCTCTGCGAAATGTTTTCGCTTTTTCATAAGGGTTTCTGGCACAGCAGGAACCTTCTTTTTCTTCTCTTCTGCAACCTCCATGGTTCCAGCGGGAAAGAGGCTAAGTAGGTGCTTTAGACCACTGAGCCATCTCACCAGCCCAACTCCCTCCACTTTTGTTCCACCTTGGGTCTTTTCCTTGCAGTCAGCAGTCACCACCACTGCCCTCTGCTGGCCACCTCGTGCCTGCCTCCCTGCAGACTGGTGGAGGGACTGGCACAGCCAGGGGAGGCAGGAGAGTGTGAAAGTGGAACTTGGTTGACCTTGTTTTTGAAGCACACAGTGTGAAGAAAGCTGCCCCTGTTGTTTCAAACCTCTCTGATAGTCCTACTCCAACCACAGTGAGCAAGTACTCTGCCCATCCACATGCTTTGTGACAATGCCTGGCTTATTTCTCATTAAGGACCAGATAGTAAATCTTGTTGGCCTTATGGGCCACGAGGCGTCTATGGCATCTACTCAGAACTGCAGCTGTAGCTTGGAAGAGCAGCTGTAGACAACACAGAGGTCTGGCTTTGTTTCAGTAAAACTGTATTTGCAGAAATATGTGGCAGACATAGTTTTCTGATGCCTGTTTAAAACGTTTGCTCTTAATCCATGTGTTTGTTTCATGAAAAATTTTACTATTTAATGATGTCTCAAACCAGTTAGGCTTTTTTTTCCCCCCAGTACTGGGGATTGAACCCAGGACCTTCCCACTGAGCTACATTTCCAGCTCTTTATTTCTTACCTAGAGACAGGATCTTGCCAGGTTGTCCCAGCTAGACCCAAATTTATGGTCTTCCTGCCTCAGCCTCCCCAATTGCTGGGATTAGAGGCACATATGTCACCAAATCCAGCTAATATATGTTCCTCAGCAGTGTATCTCTTCAGCATTTTCTCTCTGGGCCTGAGGAGCAGAAAGGGGCCATGTTTTTGTAGTTTGGGGGAAGAACAGGTTCTATATGAGCTTTATTCCTAGGGCAGTTCTAGCTGTGGCTCCTCAGGAGTTCTGCCTGACTGAATCCATCCCCCTTTAACCTTCTTTGGGCTTTCCCTTGCCATGGCAGTCCCCAGGGAGTGGAGATGGCAGTGGGACAGTTGGGTATAGGAAAGCCTGCTCCAGGCAGAGTGATACGCAGCCTTTGACCCTCAGGAGACCGCTGACCCATAGGCCCTTATCTCCGCAGCCCTCAGACGATGAGAACAGTGATAATAGCAGCGAGTGTGTGGTGTGTCTGTCAGACCTGCGGGACACACTGATCCTGCCCTGCCGCCACCTGTGCCTCTGCACCTCCTGTGCTGACACACTGCGCTACCAGGCCAATAACTGCCCCATCTGCCGACTGCGTGAGTGCATCCAGGGTCTCTGCCTGGAGGGTTCTGTCCACCTGGTCTGGGTAGTCTTGGGGGCTACCAGTCCCGTTGGCACCCTTGATCTTTAAGCAGTGTGATGTTGCCAACAAGTGATTAACGTTGGTACCTACACTGGCCTCACTGGTATGGGGTGTTCCAGGGTAGATGTGTACAGTGATCCTTGAACTGGGTGGAGACTGATTGTGAATGAGATCTTTATTGTAAAGGTTGTATAGAAAAGATTTTGTTTAAAAATTAAAATACTCAAACGCAAGGATCTGAGTTCAATCCCCGGTTCCGCCAAAAAAAAAAAAAAAAAAAAAAAAAAAAACACACACACACACACACACACACACAAAAAAAAAAAAAAAAAAAAAAAATTAAAATACTCAAAATGGAGTCTTCCGTCACTATCTTGGATCTCAGGTGTGCCTCCCAGTGGCCTTCTCCGTGAGATGAGTTGGGGTTCCTTACCACAGGTAGCTGAGATCAGAGTGCTTTGCTTGGGAGAAAATGAAGGTAGTAGTGGGAAGTGCAAAGCTGGAAGGAAATTGTGTGTGGAAGTTGTGTGGCTTAGGTTAGTTCTCCGCAGCCTGGGGGAATGTCCTCCCTTGTCTTGCCTTGTTTTGGGTCTGATTTGGGGGCCTGCTTAATGTAGATGTGTAGTCTGCACTCTTCACATTCCCAAGTCTTAGGGTTGGGGCAGTATGCTTCTGGGCCACAGTGGGTAGAACTGCCCGCAGGAGGAGCCTAGATTCTCTGTCCTAATTCATCCTCATCAGTGTTCCTGGTATGGGATGCCAGGCAGCTTCCAGCTGCCAATCTGGCCTCTGGACTCAGTGCTATAGCCCTGGTGGTATCAGCCACAGTCACAGTTGCCAGCTAGTACAGTCTGGTGTTGGGTGGTTTGTGGTGCAGCCACTTAGAAACTACACTTGTTGTCATGGCTGTCTTTCCCTGCTTGGTACCTGGTATCAAAGATCCACTCAGCCCCTGAATAGAAATGTATCACTTGCCCCAGAACTGCTGCAGGTTGGGAAGGTGTGCTCCTGGGCTTGAGGGTCCCTCCAGCTGCTAGAGCTGCTGTCCTTGCTAACACAGATCCCTCCTCTCCATAGCATTCCGAGCCCTCTTGCAGATCCGGGCCGTGCGGAAGAAACCAGGGGCCCTGTCCCCCATCTCCTTCAGCCCTGTCCTGGCCCAGAGCATGGACCATGATGAACACTCTGTAAGTGCCTCCTCTGCCTCCCTCCTCTGTCCACTAGGCAGTATGGCCCCCACAGGAGCTCTGAGGTGTTAGTGGGGGATTAGGCTGGGTCTATGGTGTGGCTGCTGTGGTAATTGTTGGCCTCTGCCAACAAAAGAGCCTGCAAGGCAGGCCTGTCCTCTTTGCTGAGTTCACATCAGTGTTTGTAACCATCTCCACCAAGCCAGATGAACCAGGCACCCCTGCCTCTTTGTAAATGAGCTATTACCATTCCTGATGAATGAGCCCAGCCTACCAGCCTCATCCTGGGCACTCTAGGGGCCTCAACAGATGGCCCACCAGCCTCCCTTATGGGACCAGGTAGGTAGACTTTGCTTTAGGCAGGCAGTACCCACTTCAAGGACCTGAAAGGGGGTATGAAAGAGAAGTGGAGGGACAGTCTTGGGCAAGGAGTGAGACCCAGATACACAGAAACAGATGCAAGAGTTGGGGTTAGGGGTGGGTAGGAGGGTCTGAGGTAGATGGGAAAAGAGTGATGGGAGTGAGTAGGATTGGACATCTGGGCAGGGTCTGTGCTTTGCTCCCTGCTCCCCACTGCCTGTGAGCATAGGCAATGAGGCAGTCCAGTGGCTTTTGAAGGCCTTGCTTCCATTTTAAAAGATCAGACTGAAGCCTGTGGACTGGTGCACCCCAAGACAGGCCTGCTTTGGGTGGTTCCACTTACATGCCTCCTTTATCTGCATCAGACTTAGCCTGGGCTGGCTGAGTGCCCTGGCCACAGGTGTGATGTGATTGTTTATACAATGTTTCTGAAAGTTGTACAAACATTTAAAAGCCCAGAAACTTCCCTTAAAACCCAGGCTAAGGGGGGCTGGGGAAATAGCTCAGTGAAATAAGTGCTTGTGAGTTCGATCCCTGGTACCACCACCAAAACAAAAAAAGCATAGTATATTTACTGGGGATATAGCTCAGTGACGAGTACAAGGTCCTGAGTTTGATTCTTGGTACAAAAAAATTACCATAGTTTGCAGCTGGGGAGATGGCTCAGTAGAATAAGTGTTTCCCTAGCAAGCACAGGGGCCTGAGTTCAATCCCCGGTTCTGCTAAAAAACCAAAACGGTTAGGTGTGAAAGCACATCCTTGTTATCCCAGCTGTTTAGGAGGTTGAGGCAGAAGGATCAGATAAGTTTGAGGTTGACCTGAGTAACTTAGTAAGATCCCGTCTCAAAATTAGATAAAAAGGTCTGGGGATGTAGCTCAGGGTAAAGGCTCATTTCCTAGCATCCCCGTCCCCAAATCCAAGGCTGTGTTCTGGTAGCTGCAGCAGAGGCATGATGTCCTAGAGGGGTCCCTATCACTAAAGCCCACCCCTGGCTCCAGCGGGACCAGCCTTGCAGTCTGGCTTCCTGGGTTTGGTCAGCACAAGGGCTCCTGAACTGTGGCCCTCCAGTGTATGTAGCATTGGTTTGATCTAGGAGGCTCGCACACCTTCACTTTTTGGTCCCAAGAACAGCTTAGGTATGGTCTGCTGTTTGAAGGAGGTGTCTAAATATTTCATAGGGATTGACTGATCCTCAGTGTTGGTGGGTTTATTGTTGCTTTTTCCCCCTCCCAGTTTCTACCCTGATTCGGGGTCAAACAAGTCCCCCTTTGTATTCATGTCTTCCTCAAAGTGAACTGAGGTACCTGTTCTCAGGCCATAGGGCCTTGCTGTGTCATTAGCCAAGTGGCCTGTCGTGCCTTGGGGGGGCACTACCTTCCCAGGACCTTTCCTGGTGCCCATCAGGGTTCAGAGTGCTATGAAGGATGTTTTTGTCCCCTGTCTGGGCCATTTCCTGATATGTCCAGAAAGAGCCCATATTTAATATTTTCTGCAGGGAGCCATTAAGTTAATCATGGGGTTGAATATCTATGTACCACTACCCACCTTGGCCCAGACATGCTGCTCTGGGGTGACCTGGGCCATAGTGGTGGTGGTGGCTGGGGACGAGTTGGATTCCACAGCCTTGCGGCTGCAAGTGAAACCAGCTGTGTGGCTCCGGGAGCCACTGAGCTTTGCAGGCAGATGCCCAGAGTCTTGATTCAGAACTGGGTTTAGTGTGGTTCTGAGTTCACATGCATGTGAAGTTTTCAGAGTTCTGAAGAACAGCAACCCTGTCCCACCACCCCAGCGCCGTATGAGGGGTAGTTGTTGTAAAACATATGATTTTTATCTTGACAGTGTCCCTTTAAAAAATCAAAGTCGCACCCTGCCTCCCTGGCCAGCAAGAAACCTAAAAGGGAAACAGTAAGTGTGCTTGGTCCTACAGCTATGTTTTTGCCCTGCACCCTTATTTTTAAACCAGTGACAAGTGTGGGAAGTCATTTTCACCCCAGGCTAATATGTTTGATTAACGCATTCTGTCAAATCCACTCTCTCCAGTCCTGCTGACCCTGTCCAGGAGTTTTGTGGAACAAGCAAAGCTCAAGGTCTGTTGGCAAAATGCCAGTCCCCCAGGTCCTGCTGCAGGGTGACAGTGGCCTTAGGCCATCCCCTTGTCACCAGCTTTGCCTTGCTGTGGCTCCTCCAGTGCCCCCGTTTCCCTTTTTTTTTCTTGCTGGCAATGGAGTGGATGTTGAAGGTGGAACTAATAATGTTGCTGCTATTTTTGCAAACAGCATACCCTGTGCATGCTCATTGGTCTTGCATCCCCTGCTCTCTGCCCATAGGATTTGGCTTTTTGAGTGGAGAACTCTAGTTATCTGGCATTTTCCCTACATCCCAGGGAATAGGCATGGGGACTGGAAAGCAGGTTGTCACAGGATCCAGCCTCTTCCCAGAGTCTCTGCTGGCCTGGTAGGCCCAGCTGAAATCCCGTGCCTCCTGCGGTAGCTTAGAGAGGTGGAAACTGCTGAAGAAACTACCCTGAGCTTTTCCTTTTCAGAAGGGTGAGGGACTCAGCAATCCTTCACCTTTAAATTCAAGGCAGGTGGGAGCAGATAGAGGTAGACAGAGGTCCAGGATGCACCCCAAGCCCAGTGCCATCTTTAGTCCCCAGGGATGCTCCTCAGTCCCTGTTCCTTCCAGAGCCTCTCTAGGCAGGCTAGAACCTCATGTAGGGAGCACTTCACAACAGTTTGCCTCTTTCCCTGGTATCATGAAAGGGAAGTGGGCTCCACACAACCCTCTTCAGTGGCCCAGTGGCCTGGCTACTGCTCCCTGGCACCCAAGCCTTCCCTGACCCCCGACACCAGCCTTACCAGTTCTGTCCATTCCTGCTTAAGGCTGTAGTGGCTCTTGCCCACATTGTCCCCTCATCCACGTCAGGACTGCTGAGGCCAGACTACCCCTGGTCCAGGGCACGCATTTGCAACTGTTCTTTTGCCTCTGGCATGGCTCTGCTTTCCCTTCTCTTGAGTGCTCCTTTCTGTCACTAACCTCTGACTTTCCACCCTCTGCCAGACAGGAACAGAAAGCATCAGGCTGGCTGAGGCTAGGTGTGGGGTGCCTCTCGCAGATGTCTCCTCACCCATCGTCCTGGGCATCTGGGGTGTGGGTGCTGGAGCTGATGGTGAGGGAGCCTTGGTCAGGCTGGCTTTAGTACTAAGATGGTCACCTTGCAAAGGAGGAGGACTCTTCAGTCCCCAGAAGGTGAAGTGGACACAGGATGGTCAGCAGAGCGGGCCTGGGGGATAGAAGATCCTTGGGACCTGAGTCCATTTTTTGGCTAGCCCCTCTTGATCTGCCTTTGTCCCCTTTGCAGAGCTCTGACAGCATCCCACCTGGCTATGAGCCCATCTCCCTGCTTGAAGCACTCAATGGCCTGCGGGCCGTCTCCCCGGCTATCCCTTCAGCACCCCTTTATGAGGAAATCACCTACTCAGGGGTCTCGGAGGGCCTTTCCCAGGCAAGCTGTCCACTTGCTGGAATCGACCAGGTTCTAGAAAGCAGCCACCAGAGCAGGCAACAGAGCAAGTCTCCTGACAGGTGAGGCCCAGAACACCACACCCTGCCTTGGGCAAGGGGGATGGAGGGGAGAGAGAAGTACAAGGTGTATCTATGGCTTGACATGATTTCCTAACACATTTTTTTTGTTGTTGTTTTGGTTTTTTTTGTGGAACCGGGGATTGAACTCAGGCCCTTGCGCTTGCCAGGGAAGCGCTTATTCCACTGAGCCATCTCCCTGGCCCCCAACTAACACATATTTTTGAGATTCAGTCCAGAAGGACTCATAATACCTAGTAACAGATACATTTGTGGCAGCAGAGCAGAGACAGCAGCTCCCTCTCTCCTGTCCTGGTCCCAGCCCACCCTGGTGGGACTGCTGCTCACTCTTGGCAGTTTCAGGGGCCTGTGCCATCTGTCTGCATTGGGGCCCAGTTGAGCCTTAGGGTTTCAGGAATTTGTGGCAGCTTGTCACATACGCACGTCCCACCAAGTGGCCAGTGATGTCACTCAAAACTCAGACCCCAAGGAGGAAGCAGGTGCACATGGTGGCACCTGCTGAACCTAGAGCATGGTCCTGTTCAGGCTTTGACAAGAGCACCAGTCACAGACACCAGGGGCCTCCCAAGGACCACACTCCTCAGCTGGCCAGGGGTTAGTTGTGGCTCTTGCAAAGGATTGTAGGGAGTGACTAGCCAGCCGCTGCATTGCCTCCCTTATGGTGGGATTGTTGCACTGTGATTGAATCCAGGGCCTTCGTCCTGAGCTACATCCCTAGTCCTTTTTTATTTTGAGACATGTTTTTAGTTTGAGACAGTCACTGTTGCTAGTTGCCCAGGCTAGGCAAAATTGCAGTCGTCCTGCCTCAGCCTCATACTGCTGGGATTATAGTTGTGCACCTTCCATGCCAACTGTTTTTTAGTGGGAAAGTACAGGGAAGGTCTTGTTCTGTGCCACCACTGTGCTCCCTGCACTGAACCCAAGTGGCAGAACAAGTCTAGAAATACATAAACATGTATGGCAGTCCTTCCTGCCACTTCCCACCTGTGTCTCTTCTGTTGGTGCTTTCTCTTCTCTTCTAGAAATGAGAGAATGTTGAGACTGTGCCAGTGTCCCTCAGAGGGCCTCTGTTGGCAGCTCTGAGTTGCTAGTCAGGGCTGCACAGTATCTGAGGTGGCTCTAGCCCCCAGATAGTATCTTTCATTGGCTCCTGGTGGACAGGAAAAGGTGGCTATGCTTGGGCAGGATTGTTGCTCCTGACCTAGCTGTCCTCCATATGCCCCTTCTATCCCTAGCACCCTGCGGTCCCCATCATCCCCTATCCACGAGGAGGATGAGGAGAAGCTCTCTGAGGACTTGGAAGCTCCTCTCCCACCAGGTGGCCCGGAGCTGGCCCTGGGGGAGAGCAGCTCCCCCGAGGTGAGACTTACCCCAGGTGAGGCCCCACCCCATTATCTCTGGGCCCTGCCCCATGGCCCCCCAGTTGTATGACCCCGGTGTTGGTGTCCTCACCTATGGGTTGGGGTACCATATGATGGAGTCACTATGAGGGCTATAGGAGAGCTGGTTTGTGAAGCCAAGTGCCCAGTCGCATCTTTGTGTCCTGTGGTGACAGCTGCTGCCATTGCCTTCTGCCTGGTCTCAGGAGGTTGGCACCAGACCTGCTGCAAAGCTCCAAGTGGCCTTTCTTCTGTCTCCTAGAGTTTCCTAACGGAAGAGGTTGATGAGCCATCACTGAAGCAAGGTGAGCCCCTCGACTCTCAGAAGCCTGACTTCAGAGCCTTCCCAGAAGCACCTCCTTCTGGGCGAGCTTTGGACACAGTCTGAAACAGCCCTGCTGCTGCTGCTAGGGTCTCCTGACTACTCTTTTGTGTTTCCTAGGACCTGTCATTGTTTCTGGCCTTGGGCCATTGATCCACAGTGTTGGCAGAGGCCTTGTTCACTGGCTAGCCACCTGTGCCTAGCCAGGACAGGACAACTTGAGTGGGGGCAAGGATGTGTTTGCTGTCTTTGTGGGTTGTCTTGTCATCTCCTGGCTAAAATGAAAATGAGAATGACTTGATTCTCCTCACCCCTTCCATTAGCAAGACAACATGGCTGGGGTGGGGCTGGGGGGGTGGGGAGGTGGCCTGCCCACCCCATGAGGCTATGGACTGTGATGAGGTGCCTTCCCACATCTCTGTCCACCATCTGAGCCCTTCCTCACCAGCATCCTTGCTGGAAAGTTGAAGAAAGAAGGCTGAGGGCTGGCATCAGGGGCCACTTAAAAGGTGACAGAGTTACAATTTGGTCCCGGCTGGTGGCAGGCCAGTAGTATGGTGAAGGCCTCAAAATAAGCCACTCTGCTATGGGAACCACCTCCCCTCAGGTGGAGCTCGTCTTCAGCTGTACAGGCTGCTGGGCCAGGTCTTCAGACACAGGACCCTGGACCCTGGGCCTGCGCCGTGGGCATGGGGTCTCCTGGAAATGGTGCTGCACTCCACCCTCTAGATCTCACCTCAGGTTTCTGTTTTGGGAGCTGGGTCTATGAGTGGAGAATTCAGTCTTAGTCTCAGTTGGTATGACCTTGGCAGTGGGACACTCAGTAAGTCCCCTGCTTTTCCGATCCTCAGCTTTCTGACCTCAAACTTGGACCCTTCCTCCACTGTCTGGGCAGAAGCACATGCAGGGATGGGGGCCCTGGTTTGTTTGAGCCATTTTTCTGCCAAGGGATACTGTCAGCAGCAAAGTGCAGGTCCCAAGCTGAGGAGGATATGTGTGAGTAGAATCAGCTTTGAAGCTCACCATGAAGGACAGCAGGGCCACAGGTTAGGCAAGGATAAGCAGGAAACAAGAGTGCTTTTGTAATACAGACAAGAAAGGCCCTCACTTGGGGGAGAGAAGAAGGAAAGGAAGTGTCCACCTTTGGGATCACTGGAGAACTAGTGAAATCAGTGGAGTCAGATTGGGGCCCTCCACCTCTCAACCACAGGGATCTGCCAGGGCCTGCCCCTGCTAGTCCTGCTGACCTTGCTCCCCTCCCCCACCTGCTGCAGGGAGCCAAGTGGCATCCATCGAGGAGGTCCTGCAGGATTGCAGCCCCGAGCTCCAAGGTTGTGCCCAGTCAGGTCCTCCTGCTGACATCTACCTGCCAGGTAATGGCATGGCACCAGCTAGGCCTAAGGATGGGGCTTGCTTTGATGCCTTGTGAGTGCTAGAAAGGGCTGGCACCTCCAGAGCTCAGTTCCTGTCCCCAGCTGTTAGGAACATTACTGCACTCCTGCCAACCCCCACAACAAGACTTGGTCTGGGCCCACATGTGCTTGGTGTACTCCTGCAGGCCCTGGCTCTCTGGAGCAGGGCTACCGCCCAAGGCCCCTTCCTACGCTTCAGTGTGCTCATCCCTGGGAAGAAAGAAGCTGTGTGTAGGAGGACATGATCATCCCTCCACACACACCTGGGGCCTAGGTGGGCCCTACTGGGATTGCAGTCTTTCGGCCCTGGTCTGTACCAAGAGCACAGCAGGGCCTCTGCCCGAAGGGCTGCAAACTAAAGGCAGAGGCCTAGGGTCATGTTGGGTGCCAGGGGGTGCAGCCCTGGCCCAGGAGTAGTGCTGGGCCCACTGCATGTATCCTCCACATGCCCTTCCCAGGCTGGCAGCTAGAGTGTGGGTAGGGAGACAAGGGCAGACCCGCTGTGTCCCTGTGGTGGAAGTGTGGCTGAGCTGCAGTTTGCAGCTCGTTCTTGGTGGCAGCAGACAGTCTGTGCACATTCTATTTCTAGAGCCCCTCCTTGTCCTAATGTCAGTGCCTTTTCTGGGAGTGCTGTGCTTGTCTACCTCCTCCCTGCTCAGCACGGGCCTGTGTCCAATTCTTCTCCCTCAGTGTAGAGGAGTAAGCTCTGCCTGCTCTGCTAGGCAGCCTTGGTGCAACAAATATTCTGCCTCTCTGACGGGTTTCCCCTTCATTTCATCTTCCTCCACCTCCATGTCTTCCAGAGCTTCCCACAGCTAGTGGAAGGTGGCTTCCAGCAGGCCTGGCTTGAGGAGCTGAAGGCTTTCTCCCTAGACTAGGCAGCCTGATCAGACTCCTTTAGTGAGTAGGGTCCCCAGAGCAGTGGCTCGGTCTGGGTATGTGTAGCTACTATTCCCAAGAGCCAGGGCCTGGAGAATCAGAGAGCCTCAGGATGACACCAGGCAGTATTCCAGTGGTCCCGCAGTAGACAAGTGGGTTGTCCAGCAGACTCTCTGCAGTCTGCCTGTGGCTTTAAGGAATCCTCCCTCCCCTCCCCTCCCCTCCCCTCC